TTTATAACCTTGTAACACTTAACGTCATGTAATTCAGTCTTCTGACTGCCAGATGATGTTTTTATTTAACAACTATTCATTCTAAATATGGCACCGGAGACTCCTAGGTGCGCATGCGCAGACCAGACTGTACCTATCTTAAACAAGCGAAAGTCAGGGGCAGCGCTGTTCCTGCCTCATCCCCAGTCGCTTTATTAAATTCGCGGGGAGGGGGATAAAGGGAGACATTGGAGGAAAGAGTTTTAATTGAAGGGGCGAAGGGAATATCACAACAGATTTTTTCAGCCACTCTGGTCTATTTAACAAATAGATTACATTTTCCCGTTGTCTCAAGTTATAGATACACAGTATGATGTCATATTTGGTAAGAACAAAAAAGTGCCCACGAGCAGCCTATGATTTGATTTTTAATCAAAATTTTCATTCTCATTAAAAATCAAAATGTTATTCGGAGCCACTGTTATAGTTTGTATTTTCTTAAGGAACGTATGTTTACCACGTGCTATGTATATTTACTTATCTGGCCTGGAGCAACTCCAAGTGCAAAATATGAGAGTACAGTGAATATGAAAAATGATCAAACTACTATAATGTTTTGCGCTTACGGAGACGAAATTGGCATAAGCACATACCAGTGATGAATTATAGTCTTCATGCCGAACCAGCTGCCGGTGCGCATATAACCAATTGATTTCTTCCATCAGCAAATTCAAACAGAATAACGTTATAAATACTTGCAACGCGAACTACTATGGCGAGTGACGAGTCTACGGCAGCCGTCTGAAATTAGGTAGATTTCGGATCGAGGACGCGGACGTTAAAGACAAGGGTGGGTTGACTACAAAATTTTTGTAGTTCGCTATAACCTCGGCTATAACTACAGCTACTTCAAACATATGTAGTCAGCTACAACTACTGCTACTTTTGAACAAAGGTAGTTCGCTACTGAGTACTGACTACAGCTACTGCTTAAAAAATGTAGCGAACTATTTCGCTATTTCGCTACGCTATATTTTTTAGTTTTACTGTATTTGGCCGAGCATCTACTAACTCATGCTAAAATGTAACCTATAACAAATCGACCTGCGAGTAGCAACAGTAAACACAAAGCGTGAAAATTGACTATTGAGTATTGATTTTAAGCAAACCATGTCTCAATATCGTGCTATTCTATCAAGTTGCTAACGATTTTAAAAAGTAGCGAATAGCGCTTCGCTGTTTGAAAAGTAGTCAACTACGTGGCTACTTTTAGGCAAAATGTAGTTCGCTATAACTACACTACTACAGCTACTGTTTTAAAAAAGTAGTCAAAAACTACTGGCTACTTGAAAATTGTAGTTCGCTACAGTAGCGAACTATACAACTACTTCGCTACTACCCACCCTTGGTTAAAGACGACGTGAAAATGGCCTGTTGTGCCAATGTATGGATATGCCATGCCATTTTGACGCTATTTTCACGTCGTTTTTGACGTCCGCGCGCGTCCTCGATCTAAATCTGTCTATTAAAGTGAAATACACGCCCAGTCTTTATGAACACCATGTAAACTGTCTGCCTGATAGCGTATTTTGTCGTCAGATCGTTGGAAATGAGTTTTCAGACCTTCTGTTGTCTGACGGCTGACTAGATTACACGGCTGAAAACGATCAGGTTGTTGCAAAAGTTGATGAAAACAGGATTGAAGAATGTTTTGCTGCCCACATTGTTCACAGTTTTCTGAATATTGAACAATATTGTTACACCCAATTCAGGCTCAACAATATTGTTCAATGTTGTTATAGTGACAAGTGTGAACAACGTGGGCAGCAAAACATTGTTCAATCCCGGTGTCATCAGATTCGGACAGACATCTCATGCTCATGTGTATATCTATATATAATTAAGTAACATTGCGCCCTATAATGAGCCCTACTTTATTTATTTTACTCCGTCTAACGCCAGACGTCAGTACGTCACGTAACGTTCAAAGTCGTCAAGCCAGCATATTTAATGCATGAATTTAAATGAATTTAATACCTATGTTCTTTGCATAATATTTCAGATACCTAAATTCTTTACATAATATTTCCTCCCCCAATAAAATTTAAGTTACCAATATGTACCAACCTTTTTGCGTTTGCAAATCTCAGTCTTGAAACCTTCCGTTGCCTTGGCTACTGAATTTAATGTTAACGTGTTTAAAAAGAATATAATAGGGAAAACCTATGCTATAGCTATAATACCAAAGAACAGTGACTCCGAATAACATTTTGATTTTCATAATATATCGACGTTTTCGACTAGGTTGTGGTCATCAGGCAAATATCTATATCCTTAATTATAGTTACATAGACCTATATAGTTAATACCTAAAAGTTATAGCTATATGTTAACTTATTCTTTTAGCAAATTTTTAAAAATGTAAATCTATATAAATAAAAAAATAGGAAGAGACAAAGGCGCCAAATGTATGTCGTAGAGATAATAGTAAAGATAATAGAGATAATAGTAGAAAGACCACCTAAGTACTCCGGATGACCATTTCGGACAATGAAGCTAAGAGAGGAGTTCAACAGGATGTTGATTGTTGCCAAAATTACGTACTAATGATGTTGATCGTTGCCAGAATACGAAACAGGTGTTTAAATCATACTTGTATAGAAATGTAAAATATGAAGAAAAAAAGAAAGACAAAAGCCGTTTTCGAGAGGCGGATGGTATAATTGTATAAAGACCTGACTCCGGATGACTTCATTAGGGAAGTTTGTTGAGACAAAGACACGAGTTCGACACGGGAAGTTGATTCGGTTGTTGTCAAACGTGGGTGTAGTAATTTATAATTTTCAGACCTGCCAACCCCCACTGTCTTTTACAATCATTACAAAGTCGTGCGATTTTATGCAAAACGTGAGATTTTTGAAATTTCTCAGGTTTCCTGATTATTATGGATTCAATGTGTCAAAAAGCAGTTCATTATTTAGCTCGAATTTTTGTTGCATAAAACTTTAAACAGATTTCTTTAAAGACTTTGTCGTTGAGAGTTGGCGGGTTTGACCTTCGCCAACTATATTGTATTAGTTCCTGTTGATGAATATTTGATATCACCGTCTGCTTCGGCAGATTTGGTCAAATTTTTTTGCAGCTGTATAAGGTCTGTCCTCGAATATGCGTGCCAATTATTCCATAGTTCCCTGCCACGAAATCTTGCAAAAAACATTGAACGTATACAGAAGCGAGCAATGAAAATAATATTCTATGAATTGTCTTACGACGAGGCTCTTAACATCGCTGGTATTTCCACTCTTGAAAACAGACGGGAGTATCTATCCAATAATCTCTTCAACGACATTGTTTTAAATGATGATCATAAACTTGCCAAACTTTTACCATCCAAAGCAGGCAATAGAGAATTACGAAAAGAAAGATCTTTTGAAGTTTTACCAGCAAATACAAATCGTTTCGGAAACTCTTTTATCAACTTTTATGCTAAGAAACATTACAAATTAGATGTTCCTTGAACATTTTAGAATTTTTAACTCATATAGATTAGTACATTTAAGTATATGATATCTTCCGATCTATATATTAACAATTTTTAAATTGCATTGTAATATAGAATTTTTTACTATTTATAACCTTGTAACACTTAACGTCATGTAATTCAGTCTTCTGACTGCCAGATGATGTTTTTATTTAACAACTATTCATTCTAAATATGGCACCGGAGACTCCTAGGTGCGCATGCGCAGACCAG